ATTTACATGAGTATGTTTAGAAGGATGTTTTTTTTGGTGCTAAATAATAAATGGACTAGTTTTCGAGTTATTTAGATACATTTTTAGGAAAAACTACCCTTATCTTCCACAAACAACTGTCTTGGCCTTTTTTATTATTTCGAAAGTGTATTAATGGTCACTTAAATCGTTCCGATGCTTTAAAAGGGTGTTTGCGACTTGATGGTCGATTTATCGTTAAATCGCTTAAAGTTGCATCAGTAGTAGGCCTGAGCAACAAATTTTTGTGAATATAAAAATTACAAAGAGCAGGTGGAAAATGTTGCTTATCTTACAACTTTAAGAAAAGAAAAATTTTAAACGTAAAAACACTGGAAGTGGTGAAATGGCGATGCACCTTACAGGTTGATCTTTAATTTTAACGGTTTTTTGCGATATGAGGCAAAACGTGATTTCCTACCGTAAAACGTTTTATGCAAAAGTTGTAAATAATAAAAAATGTAAAACTGTCGTATTTAACACTTTTTGACATAACTTCAAAATAACGGTCCAAATGCCAAAAAAAAACAATTTTTCGGTATATCATATGTCACCCATAAATTATTTAATTTATATAAATATCTGCAAAATTACATATTTTTGGCTGATAAATAAGCATTATTTTTTCGTAGTTCAGCATACGACTAGTTTTCGAGTTATGTCATTTTACGAAAAGACGGTGTCTCTGTCCACAGGTTGAAGAAACTACAGGTTCCTAATATTATAGTGGTTCATAAATAATTCGAATTCTGTTAATTTCAGCACATATGTAAGCCTTCATACTTTTTCATTCATAATTAAATGGCGGATCAGATTGCGCAGCGAAAATATAACAAGCTCAGCAATAACACAACATTTCTATATTTTACACAACACATTTTCTTGTATCTGCTATAATTTACGAGATATATGACTGGTTCTTTCAAATGAGCCAACCTTTATACAGGGTGCCCGGTAATTACAAGATCAAAAGGATACTTTTAACGTCAACAAATAGTTGATTGATTTGAATTTGACTAAAATAAGCTACTATAATTTTTGATATGGGCGCATTAACTGTGCAAGAAAAAATTGAAATTATTTTTGTATACGGAGAAGCCGACCAATATACTTTTAATAAACAAATAGATGTTTTGTTGATTTGGAGGTACATATTTGATTTTCATCATCAAACAATTTTTGGACTGGATATTTCTCTAACATTAATAGATGCTATTGGTCACACTAAAGTTTTAAGCGTTTCAATAAAATAATAGTTCAGCAGATCTAAAGCAAAAAAATTGACAATTGATGGATTACAACGCCACCTGTCAAAATCGAAGAAAATGTTTTAGATAAATTATTCCCAGTTTTTGACGTACTATTCGAATCTTCAATAAAATGTTATGGTTACCATTTCTCAAGTTCGATACCTGCCTAGCCTACAAGGTCGAAGTAGGCGTTGTTTTTCTGACACGAATAAACTTCCCCCTCCCAGATATTAACTTCTTATTTGCAACATTTTTTCCTCGGATCACTCGTTTCCGAAATATTTAAGCGTTTCAAGATAAAAAACCACCCTGTATATATAATATATATAATTTTCGATTTATAGTTAAAATCTATAAATCGCTTGACAGATGATTTATTGACAAGAACATTATCACTTGCTACGACGTTTGCAGTTAATGTCTGAAATTAATAAATAGCAAGGAAACAGAAATCATTTTTTGGCGCAAAACTATGAATGCACTCAAGAATTCATCACTTTTCTAAAGTGCACGGACGCGGTTATTTCATCAAAACATGAGGTTTGCGTAAGAACAAATTCACAGCGAGTTTCATGAAAATCCATATTACCATTCTCCCGATATTTCAGAAAAGATAATTTTTTTAAAGAACTTTGACCATCAGTAGCAGCGGAGCTAGACATTTTTTCTTAGTAAAAGTTAGTCAGTTCGTCTTCTTTTGCTCGAAATAATATCATGGTATACGATCTTTTGATCATGTGCTTACGGGACACCCTCTATATAAAAATGCAATCGATCTGTCTAAAAATACATGGAGTGTTCCATTTAATTTCTCTTTAATTCTTTATTTTAAATTTCACATTTTGAATGTTTGAGTAATAATAAACAACTTTTGTATTTACCACTTTTCGCCATTGTTTTAAATAAATTATCTAGGGGGGTAAATTATTATGCGGAAACACCCTGTCGATCAGCAACGTGATCAGATCTCCGTTATTTCGCAGCTAAGTTCCATTGTAGAGTTAAACAAATTTGTTGAAGCTCAAACTTATTAAGTGAACTGCAATATCTAGTCGCAAGGAAAATGTGGCAATTTTAATAAAAAGGAGATAGAAACATTTTTTCAGCTTGTCAAAATGTTGTTCTACAATCATTAATTAAAAATATGGTTTGTTTTTATATACTGCTAAGAAAGTATTAACTTGGGAATTGTCGGAAAATGCTTGCTACGGCGATTGATTGATTCAAGAAAGCAAACAGCTCTTGAGGTTTCTTTACAAAGACCTACTCACTTATGAACTATAAAAGCAATACATACTATTTTCATTAGTAACCCATAGAAGGGATCATCTGGGATTATCTTCAAAAATTGGACTCTTCTTGTTTTATGTGCGATGAATATCATTTTTAAACCACACCTATAGAGAATAGATTACGTGATGCAGAACTTGAATTATATTCTCTCTCCCAAATGATAACAAAATGTCACAAATTTTCCAGTTCGAATGAATATACTAGCTTTGCTTGAACCACCGTGTAGCATTATTTTAAAGAGAATATATCCGAAGCTTTTTAAGATTTTCTTGAAAACAGGTGCCAAAATTGTAGAAGTGAAAAAATGTAGTAAGATGAAAACTTAAGCTAATGAAAATATAGTGAAGATCTAGATTTTTTGGACCTATTTCTTGGAAAAGTAAAAATTCGGAATCATCGAGTATCATTTAACTATTTTTTCGAAAAATTTCTATAGCATAAGACATGATATATCCGCTATCACAATAATAAAACATATGTATGTAAAATATTCATTACAGAATAAAGTTTTTAAGCTAAAAGTCTGTCTATTACCGAAACTTGCGTTTAACTTGCAGCGCTTTTTGTAGTTGGTTTTTAGTCAACTACTAGTAAAACAAGAATTAGGGAACGATATCTATTTAAGCAAGTATTTGCATTGCTTAATGAAACCCCGTGGTATTTAAAATTAATCCCTGAATTTGCTTAATTTTACCACAAAATCCCCTTTCGTCGGTAAGATTTTGAGACAATAAAAGAAGATAATTGTGGGAAAATTCGAGATGTGGATTTTTCGCGTGCTTCAGCCAGCACAAACTATTTACAATAACATTATAATTGGTGTCGATGCTGCTAAGGAAATATTAGAACCAGATAAGAATGTTGAATGTGAATGTTTATATGAATTAAACCATATTAAGAGAAAAGTATTTGTTTTGACTTAAATAGTATTACTTTTTCAAAGCGAGCTTTTAAAACAATTTAGGTGAGTCTCCGTATAACCAGGCTAAAAATGGATCAAGTGTATATAATAAGATAATAAACTAGCTAAAAAGTTAAAATTTAGCATTTAAGGGCTACTCATGACAAATTAAGACATACGTTTTTGTTATTTTGAGAAAGTGTTTAAACTGAGCTTTTTTTGCATTTTAAAACAATAATTTAAAGTTTACACTCACAGGGGCATGTGCTACATTTGTACTAGGTCATTTTAAAAACCAAATTTAAAACTTTTTAAACTATTAAAAACAACGGATACGGTACTGACTGACGCTGAGCGTTCTAGCTTTGTTGCGAAAGATAGTGGCGCTTCAACGAATTGAACACGACCGCCCAAAATAGATGCTCAAGCGAAACTTTTTTTGCCTCTTTTTTTCTTTTTTCAATTTCAATAACTGTATCGTCGTAAATTCATGTCATTGATTGTAGTAGTTTTCGATACAAAGGCGAAAAACGGATTTTCGCCCTCGTCTCAAACAACATTTTTTATTCGGGTGAAAAAAAAATCATAACACGAACTTATGATTCAGTTATAGATAATACAGTTATAACAGAACCGTTATAGATAATAAATAAAACAATCCAAAAATAAAAAGCGTCAACTTCATATTTAAAATTTGATGTCAATGCCATTTTTGAAATTGTCATGTTTCAGACGTTTGTAATTTTTCAAAACCGTACTTTTGTAAGCATATACAAGTAAAACAATGAGTTTTGAAAAATCAAGTGCTGCTTTTACGGTATGGTGTTTGTATAAGACGCATATGAATGAAATTTGCGCTATTTAAAAAAAATCGTGTTTAGATTTTGGCAACATCGGTGAGCGCAGAAACATAGACTATTTGAACGAGTTTGAGACTGAACTTGTAACAAAGTTATAATTTAAAAATTGTATGTAAACTTTAAATTATGATCAATAGTTGTCTATAAACCTACGCAATTCATTAAAAAAGCCGGTCGGTTACCTTTTAATGAAAATACTTTAATAGTAGTTTTCGATACAAGGGCGAAAAGTGTCGTTTTTCGAACGACGACGGCGTTTGACAGCCGATACGAAGGCGAGGGTGTCAACCTGTCAGAAGTCAATCAATTTTACCACTGAACTATTTCTTAGCAACATCGACTTATCAATCTCTACTAAGTTATGAAGGTGCAAAAAAGTATTGTGCTTCGTGACAAATGCTTTGGCAAGACTAGGCACCGCATCATGTAACAGTTTAAATCAAACATGCTGAACCCAAAAACAAGATGGAATTTTAACTGAAATTGGGCAGAATATTTAAAATTCCCAAAGTATTAAAGATTCTAATATAAGGGTGTTTAAACAAATGATTGATTCGAATTTGCATTAATACGCTCACAACCATTTCACTAACAAAGTATTCTGGAGGTTAACCTCTACGACGTTAACTAATTTTCAGTAACGAACCGTGTGGTACTGGAAGTTGTAATATTACTGACCTGGCAAATATCTCCTTCAGTTCATGCTCAGAGACGAACTGGCCCAAATTGGCTACAAATAGAGTAGAACAGGGGGGATTGTTCATCCCCATACCCGGTTGAGAGGAGCCGGAGCCCACTGGTGATGCCAGAGCTGGGCTAGGCAGAAAATGAGGCAACGAAGCCGCCGCATGCATCGACGTCAACGAAGTGGGATGAGGCAATGTCATTGGTGGCTGTGTTGAAAAAAAAATATTAGAACATCTATCAGTAAAAACAATTAATCACTAGCTTTAAATTTGTAATTCTAGAATTGCTCTAGACGCTTTACATACAACTTATTGGAAACTTTTCGTCGGGCATCAACATCAAAATAGTTAATTCACCTTACAGATTGGACTGAAAAATTGCACATATTGCCGGGCTCAAAAATTAACAAAACTCGTCTTGAATAATTAAATTAAAATCTATTTGAAAGATAATGCTAATTTTCGAGACCTCACTTGTCACGGCTAATCGACATATTTTGGTAAAACTTTCAATCAAATGCTGAACTGAATCTGAAGGTTTTAATAAATAGAAGACAAATTGCTTACTTGCCAACGCGTCAAACCATTAGCAAATTGCAATTTCAAAAGGCTACTTAACAGTGAGAATTAATAGAGTATACTCCCAAAGCTTTCATTTAGATTACTCTGTATTTGTACAATGTACTAACTGCTTACAGAAACATCAAGCTTTACGGAAAATGAGTGGACAAAATTCTGCATTAAAAAAGTTACAGAAATTCCAAAATGCCATTTGTTTCTCATAATAGATAACCCATTTTAATGGCTCAATAGACTTACTCAAACTTCAAAAACACATATTTTATTACATTGAACTAATCTAATTTTGGGAATTACAAAATACGACTTATCCTATCTTTTAAAAATGGCGCTTTATAAGTGACCGCCCACCACATCAATGGACTTTTCAAGATTCATGATTTCAACATGACTTCAGAACACGAAAGGATCAATGACACAGTGAATTTAAGTTCCTCTAGATTTTCTGAACCAGCATCAAAAGTATTCGTCATGAAATAGCCAGAGCGTAAAAGGCCGGAAAGGCAGTTTATATCCACAAATAGTAAGATAAAGCGCTTATTACACACTTTTCGAACAACTCTCATATAGTTTTTAACGGTGAGTATAGTAGTATAGTAGGTGAGTTTTTAACACTATAAGCTGTTGCATCTTCGATGGAATGACAACGCATTATTTTCCGCTGCCCTTATTTCTAATCAAGAAAAAAACTACACTAGCACATTGACGTAACGCCCATACGTTGCTGACGTTACTATTAGAGTAGTGTGTCCATCTTCAATAAAATAAAAACCATTGATGTCAAACGATCCTACCGCACACTGGTTGGTATGGAGTCATTCAAAACATTTTTTCAGCTTTTCAACATCGCTATTTTGTTGACAATACATAGTTTACATGGCAAATACGGATTTCTTAAACAAAAAATGTGTGGTTGGTTTACGGCGATTTTCCTCACAGTTTTCGAGATATTTTGTGATTTTTTGAACTTATTCAAATTGAATTCCCAATATTGTCGTAGTAGAAATATAACAAATTTTCGGATGAATAAATGACCGATATGATTTGTGTTTTAGCTCAAGAACATTTTAAATGCTGTAGAAAACTTTCGAAACATCAATAATTTTTGTCAATACGAAAATCATATATTTTAAATGTTAATGTATGCATGGAAGTCAGAGGAGTCCACGTTGAACAATTATTAGAAACCAAAATATCGTTGAAAATAGTTCGAAGCGTGAATAAAAAATACCATTAATGCTTGTTAAGTTTTCTTCTATTGAGAATAGAAGCTGAATATTTCTTTTATTTAAAGATTCAAGTAGAGTGACCTAGTTAAAAGATCAGTAAATGATTCAATGTGAAATATCTCCAAAACGATATGTCAAAGTTTTTGACATAAAACAAATACAGATTTTTTGAAGAGGGAATATCAGATTACAAGCAGAACGAGATGTTACCAACAGTCTATATTTTAAAACCCCAAAAAATTTACCAAAACACAAATTATTTTGTTAAAGCAAAACTAGTTAAGAATCTCTTAAATATAAGCAAATATTTTATTTACACTGTGGCACCTTGTACCTGGAAATCTATTAACTGTTAAGCAAGTACATTTTTATGTACAAATCTAATAATTTTAGATCATTACACCCATGATTATTCTTCGTTATATGCCAGTTCTCATTCAGCTTATGTTTTCAGTGCAGTTTATTAGTTTAATTTTTTTTTATTCTGTTCCGGCTATGTACCAAATTTGGACGACCAATAATTGGCCGCCTGTTCTGTTAAGAGTTTCATAAATTTAATGGTTGAATCTTCTATAAGGTATACCACTAGGAAACCGAACACAACCAAAATAATAAACAGAAATGAAGGAAAACGTGCTCAGGTGCGTATGTTGGAACGTCGTATCCGGGAGTGGCACATATTAGAAAATCCTCTTAGAAGTAGAAAAATACAAAATATATGTCTGTGCAGTATCAGATACCAAACCCAAGGGAAGTCGAGATACCAAATACTATGCATATATTTTCAAATACAACGGAAAGAAGACCCACGAAAGAGCCAACGCAGGGGTAGGCTTACTCATAAATAGCAAATGCGAACAAACCATAGAAGACACACTAAATATACGAAAGAATCATAAGAGTCGTACTAGATTGGGGTAAGGGCAAAATGCATATAATCAACGCATATGCGTCCGACGCCGGAAATACAGAGAAGATACTTCAAAATTCTACGAACAATTTCAACATGAATGCACACATCGGAAACAACGTCGTCGACAATGCAAAACAACGATTCAACAAACCCACCATGAACGTGAATGCAAAAGCTCTGGTGCCATTCTGTGCACAAACCGAAATGCGAATAAACAACATATACTTCGACCATTAGCCTCAACACAAGATAGCTTCGCCTTACTATCGAGGACCATCGCCTATGATAGACTGCATAATATCGAATAACGATGTACACCCATCGCAAAATCAGACGTTATTAACCTGACATCCGCTAATATGTAATCCGATCACGGCTTTGTTGTGGGGAAAATGCAACTTTATGTCCGAGAAGAGAGGTAACCACAAGACATCTACTTAGACAAAATTAACATAGAACTAACTCAAGACGAAAGTATCCGAGACGCAAGAAGCAGAGAATTAACGGAAGCAGCATAAGGTTTGAGGATAGCATTGAAACATCCTCGAATAAAGTAATTCATAACATAAAAGAAGCGGCGGAGGAAGCCCTAGGAAAGAGAAAGGTGAACAAGAACTCCAAACCTACGAAAACACATTGGCTGTAGACGGAAGTTAAAAAAATTGCAAAAAGAAAAAGAAGAGCATACAAGCAATACTTAAAAAATAGAACAGTGCAAGGATGTGCTCAATATAAAACCGTCAGAAACAGAGTGTGCACGACAAATAGAGACCTAAAAACTGAGTACTGGGCAAACTTTACAGCAGAAATGGAAAGATACCTACATGGATCCCAAAAAAAGATATGGGGGGCTGCTAAGGCGAAGAAAACGGAAATCAAATTTTGCGCACAGTCACAAGCAATTCACCTCTACGGAATCATTTAAGAGCTTATACCAAGAATAAGAGAACACCGTAAATGACACTACACCCCAGAAGGAGGGGACACTGAAATTAGTCCAGAATTTGCGGATGAGAACATCAAAAAGCTTACAAACATAAAAGCGCTAGACATGGATGAGATTCCGAATGAACTGCTCAAATATGGTAGCCGTGATCGAATCGCACATTTATCAGGCCTTTACTAGACAATTCTCGATAGGAGGACTGTTCGAGGAGAAGGGAAAAAGAGCATGCCATAAAACTATTCAGCCAAATCATTGTATCCACTCTGCCAGATTATATAGCAAAAAGCAAAGAATAACGAGGCTTTAGGAAAACCAGGTCCACGACTGATGCCGTATTCGTGGTGAAACAGCTAGATAAAAAATCAAAGAGCACTTTAAACCAGCATCCATGTGTTTCATTGGCCAACAAAAGCGTATGACCGAGTCAAGCTAAGGGACGAAAAAAAGGACTCGAAGATAGTAATATACGAAGAGAATTAGTGAACTGCCCAGAGAGCTAAATACCAACACAACGATGTAAATATTAGTCAATAACAACCGAATCGAAGCCCTATTCATATCAGCGGGAATTAGACAGGGAGATGCACTAATCCCACTGCTGTTTAACATGAATATCAATCGTATAATAAACGACCTAACAAGATACGACCGGGGGTTTAGGATGAACAAAGGGGAGGTACAGATAAGTCTCTGACGAAGCCGTTGTAGTAGCAGAAAGCGAGGACCTATTAGGTCGAGTAATGGAGGTGAGAGGCCAAGACACCAAAACCGCAATAGTACCAGGAGGCCTTCAAGATATAATCTGGAACAACAAATACGTGAACGGGGAGGCCAAGGTACGAATATACAAAATATGAGTCCGCCCAATAATGACTTGTGCGGCTGAAGCCCGAGCCGATACACAAGAACAGAAGCCATACTGAGAACAACAGAAATGACGCTGCTGAGGAACATAACCGGGCATTCGTTGAGGGATGAAATAGCTACCATGCACCGCTACTATAGATAGATGGATATGGTAAAGCAAAAGAGCACGGAATGAGTATGTCGTAAGGATAGAAGAAATATCACCGGCTAGTTAAGATAGCGAGAGACGGTCGACCAAGTTCTGACTAATCACGTCTTTGCACAGGATATAACAAATTTACTTACAAATAGTGTGCGTTTTCTTTAATAATGCATATAAATAATGCAAATAAAATCCACTGTTAAAAACAGGAACCCATATCTTTCAGGGTGTACAAACTATTTTAAAAACTTGCTGTTAAGTAAACTATTTCAAGTAATATACAGCGTGTTCCGTAACCACATGATCAAAAGGATACTGCGAGATTGTTTAGCTAAAAAGAACACAATCTGACCTAACTTTTATTAAGAAATAATGTCTGGCTCTTCTGCCATTGACGATCAAAGTTCTTCTAAAAGGTATGATTTTTGAAATATCTTTAGAATTTCGATAGATTTTAATGAAACTCGCAATGATTTTGTTCTATGTACGGCGTATAAAGCTACCGAAATCAACCCCTTTGGGTAAGAGCTA